TGGAGGAGAGTGTAGTTAAAGTATATACATCGGAGATCATATTAGCGTTGGAGTATATACACTCGCTGGGATGTATTCATCGAGACCTCAAGCCAGACAACGTCTTAGTTGATAAAGATGGACATTTGCTCTTAACAGACTTTGGACTTTCAGTTGTGGGCATTTGTAGTGAGAGTAATGGCATCAAAGAGTCTCGACTATTATGTACACCAGACTACGTAGCTCCTGAGTCGCTCAAAGAGTTTTTCTATTGTAAACAGAGTGATTACTTTTCCTTGGGGTGTATGGTGTTTGAGATGATTGTTGGCGTACCTCCATTCAGCTGTCACGACCCGCAAGGTATATTCGATCGAATCTTGAAAGGTATATATGTTTGGTACGACGATGTCGAAGTGAGCGACGAGTGTAAAGGGTTTGTTGACAGACTCCTAGAGAATGATTACAACAAACGGCTTGGCAAAGGTGGGCTTGATGAAATCAAGAAAGAAGTGTGGATGAAGGGGATTGCATTTGATTCGTTATTGAGTGAGTCACGAGAAGATATATTTGTCCCAGAACTCGACGACGAGTGTGACACGGGATATTTTGATGTAGATGTTGATCGAAACAACTCCCTCACAAAAATAACAAAAACTGAGAAGGGCGACGAGGAATTCGTGTCTTTTGATTTTGTTAATACAAATCCCGTCATTGACAAGAATATGGACATCGTCGAGAGGAAAAGCAGTGCTGTTAATATATGTGAAGACGATGATGATGACACCGAGGAATTGGAACCACAGTCGCCACCGCCAAAACTGACCAAAGCAGCCAGTATGTTTAATTGATGTGTTTTATATCCCTATTTTTATAGGTAAGTCTATGTCATTTATTTATTCAGATTCAATCTACACACCTAAACTTCATTCCGTTAAAAATGAAAAAAGAAAATTTCAATTAGTAGTCTTCTCCAGCACCATCCTTATTGTCATTATCTTTGAGCAAGTCGCTGACAAGAGCTGCATTAGCTGGTGCTTGTGGAGCTCCATTAGGGGTGGCTTGTTGTGGATGAGCAGTATTAGAAGCTCCCATGTCTTGGTCCAACTTTGCTCTTGATTGTTTCAAAGTGCTCGAGAACGAGTCATATCTTCTAATATCCTGTTCTGAAACGGATCTTCTAGCAGACAACATCGCCTCTTCAAAGTGCTTTCTTTCGATTTGTGGGACTAAGTCGTCTTTAATTTCTTCGCCGGCCTCTCTCAT